TGCATGTTTCTTTGTGAAATTGAAATATAACACTATAATAATATACTAATACAGCACTTGCTCATATTATTGCTCTTTTGTTGGTTTTGATTGCTTCTATTGTCCTCATTTGTAAGTTGCTTTGGATAAAAGCATCTGCTAAATAACAAAATTTAAATATAATGTAAATGTAAATAACAAAACTAAATTAACATTTTAAAACAAGTCCCAAATCAAATAAACAACACAAATAAAATAAATATCTTCATATAAACAAAATAAGGCTTTGTCTATGCTCTTTCCATTTAAAATTAGAAGCAATCATTTCCAAACAATGATATAATTATGTTTAATAATCATTAAACATAATAATAATCATTATCCAAACAAAGATGCTGCATACATGCAACAGTAGAGTAACTCACTAAGGGAGGCGGCCAGTAGACGGTGCACTATGACATCAACATAGCGCCTTATAGGTGAAGTGAAGTGTGTGTAGAGAGGAACATTCAGAGCATAATGATGGAAGGAATTCTCATCTTTCAGAGCTCCAGTACAGAAATACGACGCCATCTAAACAGAACCACAACATCAAATAATTCAGATTAGATCACAAGATGTTCAGCAGAGGTCACTACTTCTTCATTTCTAAAAAACTGAAATAAGAGACAATATTTTTTTGCTCTACATCTGATGGAAATATACAGCAAAATAGCAGAATGGAAGAACAAATATATTTAAAATGTTGATAACAGGATCAAAACTTCACCTGCATTGCCCTGGAGCACATGTGAGTGAGAACTTCCCTCCTGGCAGCAGCATACTCATCACCACCAAGATTTTCATTCAGACTCCTCTGTCACAACAATAGACACACATTAGTGAGCCCAAACACACATACCTGGACCACACACACACACACAAATATTCTGTCCGGCAACAATGTCTAATGATGGGCAACAAGCCTAGTTTTTGGTTAAGAATGCAACAATTCTGTTCTAGAAGTAAAAACTCCAAATCGTTTTTTTTTCTTTTAACATTTTGGCATACACTTTTAAGGAGGCTTTTTGATTGTAAATTGGAGATTGAAAGTCATGTTTTTGTTCTTTAATAGCAACTTGACATATCCCAAAAGTAACACTTTCTGAATGGTATTACAAAGATTTTAAAAAGGCCACATAACCTATAACAATATCCAAAAACAACATTTAAATAGCAATTTGGCTACTGGTTAACATTTTGGCCCATGCATTCTAAGTTCAAAAGCACTGCTGTTTCACACGTGGTGCAAGTTTTGACAGTAGATGAAAAATGTTATAAAGACAAACACCTTTTTTTCCTATTTGGAACAAAACAATGTGAACTAAAAAAAAAAAAACTTTCACTTCCAGTAAGGACAAAACCCTTACTTGACATTGGATGTTTGTTACATTGTGTCAGGTTGACTACACTGTCACTATCAGATGAGAACAAAACTTGAATTGAATTGAGCTGGATGAAGAAACTAATGTCGTCTATCGAGCTGTTTATAGCTGAATAGGATTAGTTTAATAATTGAGCAATTTGCAACATCAACACTGTTATTAAACTTAATTTAATCAACATAAAACTGACTTGAGCTTAATAATGATTGCATTCTGTGGAGCAGCTTATAGCTGAATTAAACTTTACAGAGTAGAACAGAATTTAATCAACAATGAACAGACTTGAGCTGAATAAGAGCTGCTCTATAGCAACATTTACATTTGTTTATCATTAAAGTAGTATGAATCATTGATTCTGTTATTTTCCTGTTCATCCCTTGAAGCCACTTTGAAACACTGTATTGTGTAAAGCACTATAAATAAAGGTGACTTGAGTCAGATGTCAATTTGTCTGTTGTTTGTTTATGTTGTAACATAAAAAAATAAAATAAAATAAATAAAAAAATAAAAATACCCACATGGAGTCCTCCGGATGAGTTGAAGTCAATGTCAAGGCCCATCTGGTCACAAAACTCCTGCAGGTCATCTACCATCTTGCTCTGGGGTGGCGGGTGTCTACGCAGGATGGCCAGTTCTGGGTATGTGCGGTAGATC